TGAGTGAACTTGTTGTGTAAATGAATCACTCATCTAGTTCCACAAACGGGAGCGATTCAACAGATTAGGCTATGAAATGAACTATTTCTACTTGACTGGTTCAGTGAACAGCGAACTGCAACCTATTGAAATATCAGTCAGTAATTCCAGATGTGAACTAGTTCGCAGTTGCTACTGCTGAGTTGGTTCAATGAACTGTGAGATGAATTACTGAGCTATCTCAGATTTGCTGGGCATGCAGTTCATTTGAACGACTGAACTCGCTTATCGAACCGTGAACAAGAAATCTAATTTTAGTCAGTAATTCCAGATATGAAGTAGTTTATAGCGTACGTTCAATTGAAACGCATTAATGCTGAACTAGCTCAGTGAACTGTGCGCAAATGATCTAGATTGGCAGCTCTAGTGCGGGAGGAGTTCAGTGAACTGTGAACGATAGTTGTTAGCTCGCCTTGCAAGTTGCAGTACATGTTATCAAAGAGCTCTGCCGAACTAGTTCGATGAGCGACACAGTTCACAGAGCCATGCCGGCGCTAGTTCATTGGCATCCGCCCCCGAATCAATCAGCAGGAACTTGCTTCTTCTTCAGGCTGCAAGTTGCTTAAATGTGGGTGATCGATGTGGGTTGATGTGGGTTGGTGTTGCCACAAATTGCAGGTGCACATGCTGCCAGCTGGGCCCTTTGACATTGGCCTGAGTTGCTGTGAGGCTGGAGCTGTTGACAACTGTTCATTAGCTTCTTGGTTTTATCACTCATTTGCCTTGCCACACGGCGCATGCCACATGCCACATGCCACATGCCACATGCCACATGCCATATGTGCTGCATGACAGCTGCAGAGCACCCTTGACATTAACCTCCGACTGCACTGCTAGCAGCAGCAGCAGCAGCAGCAGCAGGAGCTCGTCTCCTGCGTTGTCTTCTTTGGGTGCATACCCTTTACCTATGCCAACTGCTGCCGTGGGGCATATTGTTCATCTCAAGAAGCAGAGCAAGAGAGCATTTGTACAATAGTACAGGGTATCTAGGGGTTGCTCTGGTTGCTAGGCGCGGTTGCTTGAATTGTTGCATAATTGTTTGGGCAAGGACCGCAGATGGCCATCCGCATAGGCGAGCGTGCGTGTGTGTGGGTGTGTCTGTCTAGGCCACATTGCTGCAAATGAGCTGCTTGTGACAGCCACCGAGCTGAGTCGCCTATTGCGTCCTGCGAGTTTGGGCATTCGATGTGGCTGGAAGAAATTTCTGCTCCTGCCGAGTTCTGTCTCATTCGTGCCACCTGCCGCTGTGACTAATTAAAAATTAGCAATTACGGGCTAAAAAATTTGCCGTTATACTTTGAGGCGCTTCGCACTGCCTGCCTCCGCCTGGCAGCCGAAACGCAATTGGGGCCAATGCTGGCAGGAAGCTGCTCGGGTGGGGCGGTGGCTGGGGTCTCTGTGTGTCCTCTTGGGCTGCTCCCTCCGGGTGGGTGGCTGCCTTCTCCGGGTGGCTCCCGTAACTCGTTGTTTGTCGTAATCAGCTGAGCGAGCTAAACGCTTTAAGCACTCGGCGTGGCGTTGCCATGCTCCGGGATGCTCCTGGTCCCGAGCCTAGCTGGCCCGGCCTTAGCCCAACATTTCGCTCATTCTCCCTCTCGCTCTGTTTTCGTGCCGTTCCCCTCCCGGCTGCCTAGATTGCTGTTGCTTTTTTTAATAAGCTTGACGCGAGTCGAGAGCCAGCTCCGAAAGCTGAAACGCCCACACTTGACATCGTTTGCTAACTGCCGAGAGCCAGCAAATTTTTCTCTCTACATGCCACACACACACACACACACACACATGCAGCACATACCCATGCAGAGCAAACTTGCATCGAAACGTTTGTGCCCGACTAGAAGAAACCCTGATAAAAGTCGGGCACGCCGCAGACAGCGGAATCGAAGCGAGGGTAGGCCAATGCGTTGCTGATGTCGAAAATAAAAGTGGATATACATATATATGCATATATATAGGTTGCCCTAATCTAAGGTGTGCAGCATATTCAGACCTTATCGACTAGAGCAGCTTAGCCAGGCAGCTAAGATACCCGTTCGTCACACCCATTTGTAGGTGGTAGCTAAAACTTCCGACGATGCCTCTCAAATTGCCGCGCCGCTAACTTGGCAAATTTGCAGCACGGCAAAATTAGTTTGCATTAGTTTTTTCACCTTTTGAAAGCAGTGAACCCACTGCAAATGGGCAAATATACACACACACACACATGCATGCATATGTATATGTGTGGTTGTGGTTGGCAAATGTGGTTACGTATGTGGTCGGCGGGGAGTGCGGGAGTTTCTCTTGACATGCATACAGTTATCTCCAGCATCGTCTATCTTATGTGCATGCATACTTAATGATGATGACAGTGACTATCGAAAGTAAGGCTACAGCAGTAATAATATTGGGGCTAGTGCACGATGACACGGCAGACACAGCCTACAGGGTATCTGCACGCTGAGCAATCGCCGCCAGAGGCATTCCCTTGCTTCTCACATTAAATTGGCGTTTCTTGTCTGCGTCTCGATTGCTGCGATGCTTGACCCCTTGCACAATGTCCCATTCATTAGAGCAATCGTTTCAATTGATGGACTTGACAAACTGACAAAAACACTCTGGCATCAAACACACAAGGCCTTAAGCTAGCAGCTCAGTTTGCGGCTGTTGCTTGTTGGCTCTCCTGTTTCCCCTCTCTCTATCTCTCTCTCTCTCTCTCTCTCGCTCTGCCCCTTCGATAGAGCAAAGAGTTGTCAGCCCAAACGGCAAATACAGCTTCGGTTCTATTAAGTGTTGACAGTTGCCTTTTGCTCTTAACTGTATCTGTTTCTTGGCCTCTGGCTATCAACTGAATTTACAAGTAATTGTGAAAGGCTCCCAGAGTCTGATATTAAATATAGATATAGAGCGTGAACACGGCTGAAACTGAAGTTGATGGCCCAAGAAAAGGTCCTTAAAGCCAGTTGAGTGTCCCTCGATCTGGACCATAAATTACCATTGTCTGCCGCATGTCTAACTGTACTCAGGGTGCTTCTGCGATTGCTGAATAATCTAAATCCTTCTAATTAGCTGCAACTATTTGTCTGGCATGGCTCTTCAACACCTTCATCTGCAATTCAATTAGGTGCCAGAAATGAAATTGGAATTCATTAAGTCTATGCTTGTTTTTCACTCTCTCCCTCTGCGCCTCTCTCTCTCTCTGTCTCTCTCGCTTGAGCGTCGCGGTCTTAAAAGTTGACAGACAGAACGTCTCAGAGCCAAAATATTCCGTGCTCAGTTTCCAGTTCCGTTTACCGAGTGGGAAAACAGATGCCAAAGGCCAAACGAGAGAAGGGAAAGAGAGGGCAAAATGATGAGAAGGAAATGAGGGAATAGAGACGGAGCCAGAGCAGGAGAGTGGAGGAGGGGCAAGAGGTTAGCGCCTAGGGATTGAATGACAGCCAAAACAACCGCAGCCAGTCCTTTTGCAGTGTATAAAAGTTGAATGGGTTCGCGACGTTGTTGTTTCTCTGCCCGCCCGTTGAATTAAAGTGGGTATATGCGTTTCATTAGGGACATTATTACAGTCAACAGGCTTAGCTGAAACCATAGCCAAATACATGGATTGTGCGAGCAGGTATAAGGCAGTTGGTAGAGCTCTTGACTTGTTAGTATACCTACCTAATCGTAGGGCTGTCCTCAAGGTATGCCGTAGATAGATTTGTTCATAAATCGATTTCAGTATCAAAAATATCGATTTTCGTGCTGAAGTGCTTCTTCAAGTTCAGACTTTGGTCCCTTCCAAGAATCCCAGTGTCGAATGTGGGCGAGTATCGCGCAGTCGTTCAGGCTCATTTGTCGCATTCTAAGTGGTTCTTGCTCGCCTGACGACCGAAAAAACCGCCATTAAAATAACTTTTCAGCTGCCGACGACGGCTGGACGGACCCGCTGAGTGGGTGGGTGGGCGCTCCTGGCTGGGCGTGGGCGGTCGAGCGGCTGGCGGCTGGCGGTTGGCTTACTGTGCGCGACTGCTCTGGCCTGGCCAAGTGGCAGCCAGCAGTTTTCACAGCAGTCACACAGCCTACGGCGGGGCAACTTTTCAAATTTAGCCGCTTGGAAAAAAAAGCAGAAGGAAGGAAAATCATCAGCACCGACCTGCCTACGAAACAGAGAATCTTCTCAATGGCAGCCACTGCGTATACATAATGTGCTCAGCGTGCCATTGTTTCTGTAGCCGTTGTTGTTGTCATGCCCGGCACTTAGCGTGTGTGTGTGTGTGCACAATAGATACGTGCATACATTTAGTGTGGATTACAAAATGTGAAGTAAGCTGTAAGCAAAACTTTTAACTTGCCAAAGGGAGCTGAAGGGCTTCCTGCCTCAAGACCATCCCAAATTCCATATGGGATGCGACATAAGTCAAGCTAAGCTGCCACAGATGATGAGCAACGGCAGAGCAGGGTAACAGCTAGCTGAGCATGCCCCAGTCGTTCGTTCAGTTTGGCATGGCAGTGTGAATCGTTGCTGTTGCGCTACAGGTTGGCTAAATCTAACAGATATACATATATACACTGATACATAAATGGGAAGGGTATTCACTAGTCGAGCAACGCCTCTGCTTGCACTGTTTTCCCGCTGCTTTGTTGGCGTGAAATCAAATTTGGCCGTCGCGTTGCCTCGTGGACGAGTCGTAGGGCTCATTGTTCGGCTCATTCGGGCCATTTAACAGTTGAGCTCTAATTGTTAACACACGCGCACACACATATATACGCACTAAGCGACTCACACACACGCACGCACAGACGTGCAGAGCTCAACTTGCGCTGGAAACTTTAAAGGTTTTCTACAACAACTTTTCTTTCACAATTTTTGGTTTTGTTTCTTTTTGTTTTGTTTTTCTTTTCTGTTTGTGTGTTTCCTTTGTGTTTCTTATTCGCTGTTGCCTGTTGTTCACTCTAATTACTTGCTGTATGTTCTTTATATTGCATGTTGTTAAAATCGTTAGCGAAAAGCGAAAAGCGACAAGTGAAAAGGCGAAAAACTATCGAAACAGACTCAAAAGAAACAAGAAAATAGACCGAAAACGCAATTGAAAAATGGACACGAAATTGGCGCAGGGTCAGTTTCCGGCYACGTTCCCGGAGACATTCAAGAATTTCTTCGAGATGATGAACGAGGACGAGGATCACGTTGAGCTCTTTGCCAACCTGCTGGAGGATAAGGTACAGACGAAAGTCGAAAGGTTCCCAGAAATCTAAGCCCAGCCGCAGCCTCGACAGCATTCCCATTGCATTCCCATCCATCCGCGTAGCGTCTACAGTCGATGGCCTCTGTGCACAGCTTCTGACTTAATCTCTCTCTCTGTTTGCTCTGTCTTTCGTTTCCGCACTAGGTGATACCGCGCAGGAGCCCAATGCATGCCCAGCGGCAGCGTTGCGGCGGGAGCCTGCGCAGCCATCTCAACCGGCGTGCTGGGCATGAGCACATCCAGGCTCAGATCCATGCGCAGAGCCAAGGTCGAGCGCAAGTCATACCTCCCACCCAGGATCAGATCCAGGAGCAGATGGCGAACCGCTCTCGCTCCCGCTCCCAGCAGATCCGTTACTCGTGGCAGCAGCCCGCTGTTGCGCAGCATCCGCATCCGCATCCGGTGGTCCGCGCGGCCCCACGGAGCCGCAGTGGCAGCAGTGGCGACATGAGCCGGTCCATGGGCATGGATCAGGAGCTCGCCGCGAGCTCGGGCTACGCCCTAGGCCCACGAAGCCGCAGCCGCGGAATGCGGCGCAGGAGCGTGTCGGGCGTCGACGATCTGGGCGACTATGGCGGCGTCCTGAGCCACTGCTCCAGCACTGGCAGCAGCGTCGACAGCCTTGTCCACACCCACAGCCAGCTGATGACGCGCAGCCCGAAGCACTCGACGTTGACCAGCCTCAACGTCAGCAATCGCGTGCCAAGGCCCAACTCGGCCAAGATGCCGACCGATAGTCAGCAGCTGCCGTCGGCCGCTCCWGCTTTCCAGCATCAGCAGCAGCAGCAGCCGCTGGACCAGGATCATCTGCAGCGCCACCAGCAGACGCGCGACCTGCAAATGGAGTTGCACCAGCTGCGACTTGGACCCGACGGCGAGGACAACAGCGCCGGGCGTGCGCCCCAGAATTATGCGATGCCCCGCCTCCTGGCGGACAGTCCGAGGCACTCGCAGCCAAGGCACTCGGTCATACTGGAGCGATCATACGACTTTGGTAAGCTATTGCCATTAATAGATGGTGCATAGAAGGCGAAAGAATGAGGTGAGAAATGTGAGAGAATGATTGGTGAGAGAGGTAGAAAGAGAAAAAGAGGGGGAGAGAGAGAGAGACAGTGGAGTGATGGAGATAAACACAAAAGTAGGAGAGTTGAGCAGAAGCAAGACAGAAGAGAAAGGGAGAGGAGGAAGAGAGAGAGAGAGAGTAGACTGACTGGAGTAGGAGAGAGAGAAAGGTGAGCGAGCAAGCTGGAGAAATATAGGGGAAGAAGAGCTAGCTAGACGGATGCATGGACATGTATAAAGAGAGAGATAGAGTGGGGGAGGTCCACAGGAGCATATGGAATTCGGCGGCTCAACGGCAAGCAGGTTAATTGGGAATCGGATGCCTTATTACGGCAAGTGACAGCTAAAAAGTTTCAATGTGTTGTCAGCTCTTCTGTGATGTGTGTGCGTGTGTGTGTGTGTGTGTGTGTGTGTGTGGGTGTAGAGCAACATGTCGTGCATGAGGGTGGGCGACATGCAGGCACCACATTTTCTCTAGCTTGTCTGCGGGAATCCCAGGCAGCAAAGCGCACACACAGCGCTGGCGACAAGCCGCATACACATTCACACTCTTACAGTCACACACTCGCATGCGCACATACATACATATGTATATGCTTAATTAATGGCTGGCGAAAACAATAAAAATTGTTGGGCTTGAGCCGATTTCTGGCTGTGGCACAGCTGTGCGTCGGGTCTCCAGGTGGATGCCCCATTCATATTTCAATTAAAATTTCCCAATACACCTACAGAAGCCCACACACACACACCCGCGCACCCACGCACACAAACACAGCCATTGATATTGAGAATTTTGTGGCAATTCCCTGTGCTGCCTGCTTTGGGGCGCCTGGATGTTGCCCCATCAGAAGGGCATAATGCGTATTAAGTTTTCATATAGGACGAAGAAACAAACAAAGAAGAAGAGGGGGTAAGACAGTGAGGAGGGGAGTGGGAGGAATGTTAGGGGGCGGGGCTGACATCATCTGGTGGCATAAAGCGCAAGTCAGACATCAACTTTAAACAAGTGCCAAATGAACAGTGAACAAAAAAAAAAAAAACAACAAAGTGCTGCAAAGCGACAACTGCAACAACAACAACAACAACAGTAAGAACAACATGTTGCAGGAATAAAAAAGGTTACAACAGCTCAGTGAGCTCAGAGCTGAGCCCAAACAGAGCCAAAGCGTTTTTCCCTTTTTTTTTTTTTTTGAGGGTCGACTTTAAAAGCGGACAACGAAATGTTTCCAACAAATAAAAGCAAGGGCAGATAGCGCAAAAATAGCAACAAGCGAAGGGCATGCTGCCGTTGTGTATACCCTGCAGAGAGGCAGAGAGATGTTGAATAAGAGTGAGTTAGTGAGAGGAGGGAGTGATTGGAAAATCTGCGCCACTTCGATGACATATTAAAGAACAGATATTTATCGACAACTATCGATATTTCGCACTGGAAACTGATAGCTAAGAAGTTGATGTGTATACTATATATAAAATGCCTTTTACTTGCTGCAATTTTTAATTGTGCTATTTAGATGTATTTAGATAATTATCGATTAATTGCTGCACAAATTATATATATATATACTAATAGAAGAACTAAGCTTTTCAATCCAGTTAGTTACTCTGTGATAATAAACGCGCGACACTTTAATCGAGAAGCTATCGCAATCGAAATGTATCGACTTTCTTAATTTTATAGTAATCGATTTGATTAAAGCTTTGATTTTGCATTTCCTCTCAACTGTTGCGGGCGTAAGTAGACCTTCAGCACGAGGCAGGGCAAACAGGGTATGCAGGGTACGAGAAGGACCCTTGAAATGTACTTCAGCTACGTGGGCGCTACACAGACAGACTGACAGAGAGGCAGGGCATCGGTTAATCGGATCACAAGGCAGACGGGCAGAGCATCGATGCCCATTGGAAAGTGAAGGCTTAGGTTAGGCAAAAACATATTATTAAATGCACGTAATTCGCTCTATAAACAGCGACAAGAACTCACTTAATTATAGAAGAATGAAACCGCATAGACTACCCAATGCCCTGAGCTATACCTATATACGTCTGCCATTGGCGCCCTTCAATTCCACAAATGGCTACAAGGGTTCTTCAAACACTCTCACTGGAAATTTTACAGGGTATTCGAAAATGCTTAACACAAACATTTCATTACTATTTAGTCTGGTTGAGTCTTCGAGTGCTTTTCAGCAACTTTTCATTGATGGAATTGATTTGTCGCATTGATTGGATTGGTTGGGGCTACCCAACATACGCTTCTCCGACGCTTCCCTAATCCCATTAGGAACATTTTTAGAATTGATGTCAAAGCTCAGTCATTAAATTAATATGGCTCGTGTCATTCTTAAGCGGCTTTCGGATGGAAACAAATTAATAATTCACGAAATGAATGTTTGTTTGAGGAAACAAGCGAATAATTGAGTGAACGACCCAATGAATGAGTGACTATGAAGCAATGATTGCTCTTTGAGGGTACAAATGAATAAATGCGTGAGCGAGTGTGTGAGTGGGTGRGTGAGTGAGTGAATAACTATGCCAAGCAATGAGTGAATCAGCGAAAAAAAAAAATGCTATTTGTGGGCTCAAATGACTAAATGAGTGAATGATTGAATGGGGGAGTGAATGGCTAAATCAAGCAATGAATGAATGACTATATGAAGAAATGAATGAGTAAGCGAACTCCAAAGGATTAAATGAGTAAGTGAATGACTATGTGGAGAAATGAATGAGTGAGTAAATGCAATGAATGACTCAATTAGTGAATCAATTTGTCAATTGCTCAGTCAATCAATGAATTAATAAAATGATGCATAGTATAGCCAGTATTCTTATATGGATGCTATGAACATCCGATTAGCTTTGTAACATTCTTTCTCCGGTTTTATGATAACCGTTATTCGCTTACTTAAAGAGCAAAACTAATAAAATCGTACTTTTCAATGTGCGCATCCTTTAGGCTAAACACACACAAAGCCCGAAGTTTATTGCGTAGCACGACTGATATATACCCTATACTCTCTTCACTTAACTAAAGATATGTTTATGTAATGTGCCTGGGGTAAAGGAAACTGTGTTTCATCCATACCAACTAGGCTATGCAGTAAACAGATGCCACACCCACACACACACACACACTTATACACATGTGCAGTGAAGTCTTTGAAATACGTAGGCAGGCAAGTTTTCGGTCTGAAAACGTACTCATATTTGACTTTGGCTTGACTTTGACTTCGATTAAGGTAACATACCGCTGCGCCCGTGTGTGTCTGGGTGTGTGTCGCTCAGGTGTAGCTCCGACCTGGGTCACAATGCGGCAGATTCCATAGCACGGTCGGGACCATAAATGCCACTCTGAACAGCAGCCAAAGGCAGCCGCTGCCTCAGTGTGAGCCATGCCTTTTAGCAGTTGGTCAGCATTAATTTATGACTAGCTCTGTGTGAGTGTGTGTGTGTGTGTGTGTGTGTGTGAGTGTGAGTGCGAGTGGGTGCAACGTCTGCCTGAGTTTGACTCTGTGCAGCTACGCAATTGGAGCAGAGCCAGAGGCAAATGGGCAGACTTAATCGAGTAATTATTTATGGAACTGTTCAGTGACCAGCTCCATTGAGAGAACCATACGAAATGAGCTAGTTCGGCGAGTATTTAATGATGCAGCTTATCAGAAATGCCCGTCATTATAGCCTGAGCTAGTTCAGTTCTTATGGCATTCTCGATAGATGGGCGGCCGGGCAGGAGTCGAGTCCAGTCGAGTCGGCTCGAATGGGCAGCATTGAATGGGGCGTTGGCCCCGTTGCTAAGCGAGGCACAAAGGACAAGCTCGCATATTTTTCGTAGTTTCATGGAATTCCCGTTGGCTTTCTTGTTGCAGATGCCAGCTTTGACGGCAGCGATGGAGCCGTGCCCTCACCAGCCCCCCAGCAGCTGGCCTACAATGTGCTCCGGCCGATACTGAAGTCGCAGCAGCACCAGACCCAGCAGCAGCAGCAACAGATGCAGCAGCAGCAGGACCAGCAGAAGCTGCAGCACTTGCAGCAGTTGCAGAGTATGCAGCAAATGCAGCAGCAACAGTTGCAGCTGCAGCAGCAGCAACAGCATCAGCTGCAGATCCAGCTGCAGCAGCAACAACAGCAGCTGCAACAGCAAATACAACAGCAGCAACAGCAGCTGCAGCAGCAACAGCAACAACAGCAACAGCAACAGCAACAGCAGCAGCAGCAACAGCAACAGCTGCCGCCGCTATCCCAGCAGCCGAGCACATCGGCCCAGGCCCATTTGCACCGCATATTGCCGATACCGCCCGTGGCACAGAGTAGCTACCAGCGCATGCAGCACAGCCGCGGCAGCCTGCAGGGCGCAGTGCAGCGCAACGCGAGCGCCGGCAGCTCGACAGCTGGCTACAGCTACAGCATGCAGGCCCAGCAGTCGCAGCAGTATGAGCTGGCCGAGCAGCCGGAGCAGCAGCAGTACTATGCGGGCTACAGCCGGGCGTACGGCTCGCAGGGGCTGCACGGCGAAGGCCATTGGCGCGACGAGGAGCCGACCTGCTCGGCTGCAATGGCGGCGGACTCAATGCACAGCACCTACCAGGATTTTCTGCAGGCGGCTCCGGATCCAGGACCGGGAGCGGGGCCGGTATGTAAAAACCCATCATCCTAGCCGGATCGATGTACCAGAGCTCGTTTGTCTGTTTGCTCACCGTGCTGTCCCTCAGCCCCGTTGCTCGTCTCTCAGCTCATGCGTGCATTCATTCCATCTATGTTCAATCTTCTATCAGTCCTTCAGCATAGATCCTATATAGATCTATATAGAAAGAAAATACCATATCTTGCTCAAATATGTTTTAATTTAAGTAAAATATTAATGCATCTCTCGCTACCCTTTGCCCTTGCAGCCCAGCATGAGAATGCAGAGGTCACCAAATATGAATAGACGCAGAAGCTCCTCGATTGCAACTGGCGTGCTGCACGGTGATCATGGCTACGGCTATGCCAACGACAACAAAAGTTTCGCCGGCGAGCAACAACAACAGCAGCAGCAGCAGCCAGAAGAGGAGCACGTGGAGGAGGTGGAGGAGTTGTTTGCGTTCCCCAATAACAGCAACAGGTAGGGGGAATTAGACACGGATCCATGCCCCTGATCTGAAGTTTATCCGTAGCTTCCCTGAGTCACTGCGACAGCAACAATTGCAGACGCAACTGCAGCAGCTGCAACTACTGCAGCAACCGCCTTGCCTTGCCTTAGCCAATTATCGATTATATCGATTGCAGAACAAGATTTATACCCGATTCCTTGTAGTACATCACACTTTCAGTTTATCGATAAATACAAATAGCCTAAGTTATCTAGTGTTTTTCGAATTCTAAATTCTTATTAAAAAATTCAAATTATTCGGCTACTTCTAGCTTTTTTTTCGATTTCTTATTGACATGTTTATCGATTGCCTTTTTATGTTCAAGTTTCTATAGTATTTATGTATATATAAGTTTTACAAAGGCATTATTTTGTCCGTAATTGAATTTCTTCTGAAAGCTCTGAAGACATGGCCTTCAGCTGCCGCACAGCTCGTAGCTGCAGTCCTTTGGCTATTTGTCCGTCCGCTTCTCCTTTGATTTTCTTTGTTGCTTAAACCTGAAGGAAACGAGGAGAAAATTGAATAAGCCTTAAGCAGAGCAGCTCCGCGGCTTTTCACGTGGAATCAACGCAATGCGATCGCCGCCTTGGGTCAACTTTGCTGCGATGGGCTGGCAGGCTAATTATCGACTGTCAATGCAATATATTTAAACCATATATATATATACATATGCTCCATTGGCGGGCCTTGTACTCATGCTGCACACTCTGATTGCAGGGAGCGGATGACGCTGGCCAAGTCCCCGCTTGGTCGGGCCATCGAGAGCGGCGTGCTGACCTTCCATCAGGCGATGAGCGGTGCGGTGTCGCCGCAGTACGCCGGGGTAGTCACAGGGGTCGGAGCAGGAGCTGGAGTGGGTTCGGGTGCCAGCAGTCAGTTGCCAGTGAACGAGCTGGACAAGTGCCGCCTCGGCTCCAGCTCAGCCTTGGCGGCTGTGGCCGAGCACACAGCGGAGACAGCGGAGACAGCAGCAGCAGCAGCAGCAGCAGCAACGTCGTCTGGCGGCGCAAACGCCACCAGCTCGACCACGACCGGATCCAGTGACGAGGTTCAGTCGCCCGTCGCCAACAGCAGGGCGCTGCAGCAGCAGTATCACTCGGTCAACAGCAATCAGCAGCGCGAGCGGGGCGTGGGCGAGTCAGCGGCCAGCGTGGCCTATGGCAGCTCGGCCACCATAGCCGTGGCCGTGCACATGTCGGAGCGGCAACGTCTACGGACGTCCAGCATGCCGGCAGAGAGTCGCAAGGTGAGTATGCTCAGAGTTGTTTGTCCATAAGCCAGCTTGCTATCATTGAAGAGCTTAATTAGCTTGCTAAGTATTTTTAAATTACTAAATAATTACCAGAAGATGCTTTAATTCCACTTAAGTACGGCCTTAATTACTTGCGTAATTAATCAGCAATTAAATCTAATGATACCCTTAGAATATTATCTGGTAGGTCTATGCCAAGTGATCCCTAAAATTACATGTGATTACTTACCAGCATAGCTATTAAAGGCTAGATTTTCGCTTTGCTGACGATGGAATGGCTTAATACTTGGCTCAATTACTTTAATTACTCTGGCAATTACTTATGTGATTGCCTTCTATTGCAATCGATTGGGCGTATTTTCAAGGAACTGCCCCAGTAACTCTATGTGCAGGCATTTATCTGAGTCAAATGAATGCGCGACAATTCCTGGAAATACCTGGCATCGCCCAACACCTTTTGGTTTGTTGCTAATAAGCCAATTCCCCAATTCCCACGACTCAGCTCTGGGCTCTCTGAGTCTGACTGCCATCAAAGCAGCTGATGACATTGAACGACAGTTGCTTTGCTTTGTATGCGACGCAGAGAGTGAAAATGACCAGAAAAGCCAATTCGTTTAGATTAGAGTATACAGAGTCAGAGAGAGAGAGAGAGAGAGAGAGAGAGACAGAGAGAGAGAGAAACAGAGGGACATAGGGGTCGGTTGATGCTTTAGCTATATCATATTAGCTAGATATTAATTTTGAATCCACGTCTTGCTTCTCTTCTGTATACATAGAGGAGGCTTTCAGTATGGTATCTGCTAGTCGGGCACTCCCCACTAGAGCGCACTACTCCTTTGTTCTTGCTTTTCGGGACATGCACATGAGATAAAGCTTGCCCTAGGGATTCGGTGGCAACATACATAAGTACGAAAGAACACGCCAGCCTATCTTGTTAATATGAAAGAACGCTCATACACACACACACACTTACACACACACACACACAGTTACCCTAGCGCTTCAGCTGAACATATTGCCACACAAAAATGAGGGAAAAAGCGGGAATTACTTGAAAGCCCAAAGGCTAGCGGATTCAATCCCAGCTGTGGCTCTGCCCGAGCTGCAGTTGTGAATTGCTGGAAATGCACGCTGTGTGCACAAAGACAAACACATAGACAGCCCCATGGCACCTCCCCCTAGGCAGCCCCCTGGCAGCTCCCTGGTTGCCCAGCCCGGATGGAAGTTGCAGCTGCCGCTGGGGTGGAAGCGTAGCAGCCCGGCAATAGACAAGCTTCTACCTGTCTATGTGTGCGTGTGTATGTGTGTGTGTGGGCGTATAGGCGTGGCACACACAGAGTCACTCTTGACATTCTTTTGACTGCAGCGAGTGCAGCTTTTATTTTGCTGCTCTGCCTGGCGACGTGCTTTTGCCATTGATTCGATTCTTTTTCTCTTTTATTTGCGCTGTGGCCTGGAGCCGTCAGTCCCCCCACCCCCACTCCCCGGAGGGCAGGCGGCCAAACGGCTGGCGCTGGTGCTGGTGGTGTCGGCTCGCCAGCTGTCGTTAAACATGTTTTGCCATTCGAAGCCACGAAAATTTCATATGCAAACAACAACTTTTCCGACTCAATTGCCAGACAGAAGTCAGCTGAGTCAGGCAGGAGTAAGAGCCTGGCGTCGGGCTGTCCGTTTTTGGGGCACTGCAAGCTAAGCGGGCCAACAGGACAATCAACTCAGTCCCAGCCAGCGCGCCTGCCACGTCCCACACCCCACGCCCCACGTCCCACGTCCCACGCCCCTTAGGGCGGCTGCAGCTGAGTTTTCAGTTTGTGTTGCCTACATTTGTGCGCGAGAGGGAAAACTAATTACATTAGCGCTGCAGCGACTAGATAAGTGCAAGCCGGATAAATTCCCCCAGCGAGTTCGAGAGCAGGAGTGTGTGCGTGTGTGCGTGTGTGCATGTGTGTGTATACACAAAGTATGTGGAGCAACAGGAAGGCAAAGGCTGCCAAAGTAGGATGTGAAACGTTGCGCGTTAGTTAGTTGCCATAGTCCTAACCATAAATCCAAGTTAATGACTGGTATACACACACACACACGCACATTTATACATACACATACACATAGGCATTCTCTAAATGCAAACAAAAATGAAAAAGAAAAGAAGGAAGAGTGAAATGTAAAAACTTTAGTTTCCCTAAGAATACCCACAAGGGAGTCGCACACCCACACACACCAACGAGCACACACACGCATGCACGCACACATATTATATATTTATACATGCTTTATGTCTGGCTGAATGCTCTACGCACCGGCCGCGCCGCCAGGCCAGCGAGTCGAGAGGCTCGCGCGTCCCTGCCAATTGACAGTTTGCTTCGTCATGCCCAATGGTTGGCATAGCAGCTGCCCCAAAACAATCAAGGGCATAGCAGCCGGTATACATCGCTGTCAGGTCGTCCAGTTGCCCACACTCCCCCCCACTCTCGCACTGCTTAATACACACACTAAAACACATAAGCGAACTGACAGCAGAGAAAAATACAAATTTGAGTTCTTTATCGCATTTCTCGTTTTCAATGAAAACACGCAGCAAGAACAAGATGAAGGAGAAGCAGGAGCGGAGGAGTAAGAAAATCTTTGGTATATGTTAATGCTCGTTCACTTGGTTCTAAAGAGAGTCGATTGGTTTTGTGTGCATCGACCATATAGATACTGGAGATACGTATCTACTCCAATAGAGCCTCAATCTTGGAGACTGAACAATCGTGGTAGTCTGAACGAGTACTAAGCAGTCAGTAGGACTCGACTTCCACGTTAATATTTGTTTTGGTTTACTTTTGACTCGCACACATTCGCCTGAGCGAACTTTTATATACACCCTATATATGTATTACCATCATGAATATCCTTCCATAATATATAACTATAAATGAGTTTAGGAAAGACTTGAAAACTTAGGATCTAAGTATACGGGCAACATTTCTCACACATTGTTATTGTAAAGAAATCCATTTAGTTACTATTTCATGGAGAGTATACTTTTGAATAGATATATATTTTGTGTAGCTCTAATCAGTGGGACTTGCCATGGACTTAAGAGAAACGTTTAAATGCAACTCAAAGCAGCTTTGAGATAAACTCATTAAGGACTTTGCGCTATAAGTAAATTAGCTAAGGCAGGAGATGGACGTAAGGTCTGAAAACAGTTGTGCAGAAAGAGGAAAATAGAGAGAGAGATAAAAGATGGGGGAAAAGTTGTAAGCGAGAATTGAAGTCTATAAATGAAAGTTCAGTAAATGGATAGAGATAGGACATAGCGATAAATGAATACTGAGAGCGTGTTTGAGCTTGTATTGAATGTGCACCTGTTGCACACCTGTTGCACCTCTTGCAGCCCCGCCTGGCGGACACGCGTCGCTCGGCGATTCACTGTGGCGCGGATGTCGAAATGGATTATTATCGCTTGCGCAGCTTCAGCATTACATCGCATGGCGTTTGCAATCTGGGCGATTCATTACGGTAAGTGGGTGTGCCATGCACACACACACACACACACACACACACACAAACGACAAGCAACTCGCTCTGACATGTGCCTTCTTATTGAATTTAAATTCAAATTGTCTTCAACAGCAGCCGCAGGTCACGTTCCATCAATTCTGTGACATCCAATGGCACCTCGAACAGCGGCAAGGATCGACACAATAGGTGAGTGAGACAAAAGAGAAAGAGAAAGAGAGAGAAAGAGAGAGATAGTAAAAGTGCACGTCTTTCAGCGTGTCATGAATTATTCGTTCAATTGAACTTATGAGTAAAATAAATAAGTTATTACAAATGAACTGAATATCGATATGAACCAGTATTTTAGTATTAAGTTCAATTGAACGATCTAATCAAATTAAGTTGCTGAACTAGTTTAGAGATGCTATATGAGAGCTGATTTGCAATAATAAGCTCAATTGAACGACTTAATCAAAATGAATTTCTGAACTAGTTCATTAGTAAGTGAGTGATGTTCGCTGTAGTAGCCCTAGTTCAATATATTGTTCACAAGGTTGACTCCTGAGCTTGTTCAACAAAATGAACCAGCTCATTTTGTCGATCCCTTCCGCCTACATTTGTGGGCGCTCGGAGCTCGACCTGAATTTTTCGATGCCAGACTCGATTGTCGGTTGTTGTATTGCTCATGAGCTGAACTAGTGTGTGAAATGAACAATTGAATTGGCTCATCAAAAGGAACCGGAATGAGCAACTCTTTATTGTTGACTCCCACTGTCAGCCAGCAGACGCAATAAATTGTTTATAAGAATGTTCACAATAAACCATCGACAGCAATGACAGTGACACCCATACATACATACATACACATACACACACAAGCGCACACCTTTACACAGACTTTTACCAATTTCATATATCTTTTCCATACGCTCGAATATTTTTCGTACAATTCTTCTTCTGCCCCTTCGTCTTCTTCCTTTTTATTATGCGCTGCTTCGCTCTTTTATTATTATTATTATTTTTATTTATTTATTTTTTTTTTTTTTGTATTATTTTTGTTGTTGCGAGCTGTACAAACGCATTCTCAAAGAAAATTCCAGTCTTTATTACTGTTGTTTACTCGGCAACGGCAACGGCGACGTCGGCAGCCATGCGCCCCTGCTTAGCCCCACCAAGGCTTATTATTGTTATTAGATGAGGCTAGGCCTCTGCTGGCAGTAAAATTATAAAGTCGTAAAGTCGTAAAATCTAATTCCCCAGCTGTTTGTGTAAATAGCCGAAATGGCAATAAATACACTCGCTGAGAAAGCCAAGCGTCGTCAACAACAGTTATTCGGCTACTCAAGAGTCGCATCTGTAAGTGAGAAGATTGACTGCCTAGGAGAGCATTACTAAAAGTGTAAGCAATGCTCCGTGATTGAATCGTACATGTTACTCAACTGGAAGCCACTCTGCACCTCTATAAACAGCGGAGAACAATCAAATTTGATTGCCTAGTTGAAGCTTTGAGTTACTTGAGTTGGAAGTCGGAGTCGTTTCTATGAGGCATGATTGAACAGGAGATTATCTTAAGGAATAGGTGTTTAGTCACATTTGATTGACTTGATTGATGATTGCACTAATTGGTTTCTCCTCTTGGCCTGCTTTCCATGCTTAGCATTGCGTCGGCCGACATCCCGGAGGCAGAGGCGAGCAACATCCAGCCGCACTCGCAGAGGCCCAACGGGGAGCAGGTTCCGGCGTACAAAATCGCCATGCTGGGCGGATCCGGAGTGGGCAAGACAACGCTGACATATCAGTTCACCACGTCGGACTACATCTGCGCCTACGATCTGAGCCTGGGTAAGTGCCAAGTGGGACACGTGTGCTAAACGACATCATTTAGACTAATGTGGGGGCTTTTGGCCCCTTGCCCGCATCAAAGAGGGTTTGAGCGTGGGTTTGGGCTCGGGTTCGGGTTCGGGTTCGAGTTCGGGCTTTTAATCAAACGCATTTGCATTTTAATTATGCCACAAACTCATAAAATATGAAAAGCGTCGCTGCTAATTTCATTAACTTTGCCAAGGGCGCGCCGGGTAAGCAGCCAGGTAAGGCCAGGTGAGATGCTCCTGCTCCTCCCTGAGCTCAGGTTTGCGGTCCGCGGGCTGGCTTCTCGCCTGACTTGTGATCCATAATGGATGTTATTAAAAGGATTTCCCATATCCAGCAATGAATGGGCCAACAATGGCGTGCAACACGTGGCCCCTATTAGCTCATGGCTCGGTTCGCGCTGCGCTATTTCGGGTCGGCGCTCGCATGTATGAGCTATCTCGGGGCAGTGGGGCATGCCAACATGGCTTAGACTAAGCGAGCAGCCGAGAGCATGTGGCAAGTGCGAAGCTACTTAACGCATCTGAAGGACACTGCGGGCTCAGCTAGTCAAAACGGAATCGTTTTCATAGTGTGTGTGCATACGAAATGGAACATGGGAAATGGCAAATGGCAAATGGAAAATGGCATATGGCAAATGGGAGTTGGCATAGCAAATTAGAGTCTCTCGGTCTCAGAGTCTGCCTGACTGACTTGCAGTGCGTAGCAAGGATTCATTTTAAAGCTCTGCCTGCTGAATTGGCATTTTAATAACCCTGAAAGCTTTCGAGTTAAGCTAGAAATGGAGTATACGGGAAGAGTTGTCCATGACGTCTCTGTAAAGACAGCCCAAGTCAAGGTAGCTTAGTCCCTCGTTCTTAAGGTTTTTCAGCTAGAGCCCCTCAGTCTTAAGAAGAGAAAAGAGTATATACACTACTCCATATACTCTACACATTTCACATACTCAGTGAAATGGGGTTCGAGCTGCAGGACTTGAGTGCAATTGGCGTCCTGATTCCGTGGTTTGAAATTGGTTTTCCATTAGTAGTGGGATTTGGGGCACTGCGTGTCCAGTTCGCACTCCGCTGAGGATTGAGAGTGGGCGACCTGAGCAAATCTAGAGAAACAGGAGGGAGAGGAGAAACGGATGAGGGCGCAGCCATTAGCTTAATCTTGCTAGCTGCATGATATATGCGACTTGCGTGCGGCAGCAGTAGCAGCAGCAGCAGGAGAAGTAGGAGTCGGGTTGAAGGAGACGAGGAGGCTTAGCTAAATGAAAGAGTGAAAAGTAAATGTGAATGTGAAAGCATAAATGCTGAGAGCATGAAAGCACGAGAGCTGCGAATGAAAATGGCGTAGGCTAGTCTAGAGGGGGGCGCCAGTCCGACTGAGGCACTGGGGCATGCAACATTTCCTTGCACGCTGCAACGGAGCGCGTCGCATCGCAGGAAACAAAATAAAATTCACCAACTTTTAATTAGCACTTGAGTAAAAGAGCCAGCAAAAACAACTGTATATGTGCCACACGCAACTTTTATTGTCGTCCCCGCCCCCCTGGGAGCGCCCACTGAAGGGGGCGTCGCTAAGCGTGGGCTATTGTTAGCATATGTTAAATGGCACATCAAACTGAACAACAGTAAAAGCACGAAACTAGCCATGGACTCTGTATACCCTGTTTTCACTGCATGGCAGGCATTGCCTGGCATGCGCACTCACTTCTCGGTTAATGATTGCCTCTTTCATGAGAGTAGCCTTTACGCACCAAAAGGTTTCCTCATTGCCTGATAGATTTTCTGATATCGATTAGTCTTAGAAGAGGTATCGATCATAATCGATAAATATACTTTTCTACCTAGACCAGCTTCTTCCGTTCTTCTTCTCTCCCTCGCTACTCTCTCTTCTCTGTCTGGCTCTCTCCCTCTCTTTGTGTCTCCCTCTCTCTCTCCTGCGTAAAGCAAAGCAAATGTGCAGTAAACGAAATAAGTAAGAAGCCGTTCCCAAGCCAAAAGGCGGAGGGAGGCGGAGTAGAGAAAGGTAATTTCTCGCTCTTTATGAAACCTTTTTTATTGCCACCTTTGGCAAATGAAATGAAATCACACTGACTGCGCTTGTTATGCGGCTGCACGCCCCTTCAGCGAACTAACCAGCAGAGGCGATAAAAATGTAACACGAACTTCCGGATTGATGGACAGAGAGATACCCTGTAGAGCATACGATCTGAGTAGTGTTAAGAATGGAAATCATTTGAGCACACCTTGGGCACACCTTCACAACTAATCTACTTTTCTAGATGAGCTTTAAGTAGAGTTCTTCTCTTGCAGTGTTGCCTAACGACGTGGAGCAGAGCTTTGTCAAGTCTGTCAGGTATCAAGATGCACTAATATTGTGTCAGCTGAGCTATAAAGTAAAGAAGTGCTGCAATGCAGTCAAGTAAGCTACTTTGTTAAGTCCTCGCTCTGTTGGAACTTTTTTAGACTCTTAATAAAAATCAGTAGTGCTGAACTTAAAGTGGAATGAAGTCAAGTCTGTCACTCAGACTCACTGGACTCCCTTGCGAATAAGTGTTGTATAATCAATCAAGTTGTTCCTTAACTTGAATAGAAAGCACTCGCTTAAACATTAATGCAGAGTTTTCAACTGCACTGAATATGTGAATGTGCATCATCTCTCTCTCTCTATCTCTCTCTTTCTCACTGTCCAGCTGTCAGTGTTGGATTAATTAACTTGGATTCAAAACTTCATATGCAGGCAGCTTTGTGTCTGGCTGCTGGCTTGCAGTTTCGCTCCATTTATAGCTTCGCTGCGCGCCTTTCATTAACAGTGTTGCATAACTAACTAATTAGCATGCATCTGCGGCAATTTTAGCCCAGCCAGAGCCAGAGCCAGAGCTAGAACCGAAACAACGTGTAGCTGCAGGCGCTGCATTGCAGGCGCATGCCAATCATGTGTCATGCGAATGGCTGCAGTCGATGCAATATGCAGAACGAGATGAACGAATGCATGTGCACACACACACATATACTTGTTTATTTGTATTACGTGGGCATAAACAAGGTATTACACAGCACTTGGCCGTAATCGCATTAGCTGAAATGGGCCATGGCCCATTAGAGTGAAGTGAATGAAATTGTTTGCACACTCTCAGCTCTCTCTCTGTCTCTATCTGTCTATCTCCCTCTAGATGATGACTATGGACAGAAAACGGTCTCCGTCCTGGTCGACGACATTGAAACGGACTTGGAAATTATTGATCATCCGGCCTGCGAGATGTCGGTAAGTATCTGAATGCCTTGCCCAGTTGACTGGGTCACCCACACACACGCACGCACACACACACACATCCACTCTCTGGGGCAGCTGCTGCATTTGACACTTATTTTCAAATGTCATTAACACGGTTTTCCTTTATCGGCTGCTGCTCGACAGGCCAAAGCGCATTAGATTGAGGCAAACGTCTTGTTACATTGGCAGCCTTGCCAGCCAGCGCCCCTGTGTGTGTGTGCCTCTGTGTGTGTGTGTATAAGCCAAAAAGTCAAGCGTAGCAATTGTGTTGCCTACTTTTGTGGGCAGCTTTAAAAGCGGCTGTCGTGCTAGATTCTATATATATTTTATATGCATACACTGACACTAGCTTTGGCTAGCAAAGCTGAGACATATCTCAATTTATCTCTGTGTGATCGGGAGCACTTTATTAGCTTCTCCAGTTGGTAGCCTACTTTTGTGCGCTGACTGCAAGACTGCTGACTGCAGCCTCCATTTCGGTTGCCTACTCACCTGCAGCGCTTCGCACACAGGCACAATTGCCACCTAACGGTAACCATAGACGCACAGACAGCAGCGCCTAGGGCTAGACAATTTGACAATTCGAACTAACACAGAGCGTATTAGTTGGCCCTGCGGGGAAATTGCCATCAAAGATTTAGACTCCAATTGAGGAGTAGATACTGAGCTTATATATAGAATTTCGTGCAATCGATGCACACATACGTATACATATGTATGTATGTATGTATTCTCTATCTCTATCTACTGCCATTTCTGTTGCTTTCTCATACAGACCGAGGCGTTCTGTGCCACGTACAACATTGACCTGTTCGTTGTGGTCTACTCCGTGGTAGACCGTGGCACCTTCAAAGCAGCCGAGAAGGTCCTGACCTACCTCAAGGAGAACGACATGCTGCTCACGCGCGGCGCCATCCTCGTGGCCAACAAAACGGATCTGGAGCGGCATCGCGAGGTGTCGCGCCAAGGTGAGTCCCGCAGCTGGCGATTCGTTTGCTATTCGCAGCAGCCCGGTTTTCTCTTTGCAGTTGGGCGCAAGCTGGCCAAGGAGATCGCGTGCAAGTTCATCGAGACGTCGTCGGGCCTCGACCATAACGTGGACGAGCTGCTGGTGGGCATTGTCGCCCAGGTCAAGCTGAATCCGCAGCGCCTCTCGCTGCTGAGCGAGTACGACCTGCAGCGCCTGAACTTGCAGACGACGATACAGAAGCATCGGCGCATGCATCTGCCGGCCAGGCGGATGGTGCGCCAAATGAGCATCTTCAAGATGGAGGACGGCGAGGAGAAGGACGACGATGACGGCGACGGCGACGGCGACGGCGACAACAACAAGGAGAACGAAAACGAGGGCCAACAAAAGTCCCTGGAGGCAGTGAAGCGCGCCGCCAATCGACGCACCCTCAACCTCGAGTGCATTCTGAAGATGGGCGAGAGCGAGCTGGAGGAGGAGGAGAGCAACAGGCAAATGAGCAAATTCGAGCAGCTGGCCGCCAGCATGCGTCAGCGGCGCGCCCAGGACGAGCTGCAGCAGCAGCAGGCGGCCGACAGCAATGACAGCAAGCCATCGACGTCTGCGGCAGCTGCTGCGGCGGCGGCTGCTGCCAGGCGCGATTCGAATGCCAAGGGCGAGCTCGAGTCCGCCGCTTGCAACCGGAGAGTCGTGAACAAGCTAACCAAAGTGTTTCTCTCATCGGTGCTGCGCTTCAGGACAAACATGAAGCGACGCAACTCATCGAGCTGCACCAACTTGTTCGTCATCTAAGCGGGGGCGGGAGAGCTTTCGCGCGTGTGTGTGTGTGGGCGTGCGTGGGTGTGCGGCTGTGGATGGGTGTGYGTGTGTGCGTCTAGCTATATTGTTTATAAGCGAGGCTATAGACTGAGACTGATTGACTGACTTGGAATGGAGCGCAGCTAACGGGAGGGGCATGCTCGGGGTGGAAACAACAAAGAGTACAGTCAACAAGAACAATTATCAAAAGGTTATGCATGTATGCATGCATAATCACTGAAACCAGAAGCTAAGATCAAAAGCAGAACGATTACAGCTCGATAAAGCATCGATAACAGATCGATAACAATGATTTGATTGGAAAACTTTCTGAATTTAAGACAATTTAAGACTAGCTGCTGTTGCAACATTTCAACCAAGAATTTCGCATAACGTGACAATCGATAACAATATCGATAGACCTAAGATCTGCTCTCTTGTTCCTAGCCAGCTGTCAGCGACCATGGACAATAATTTATGCATTCCATACAAAGCTCAAAAAAAAAAAAAAAACAATTTTATCGATAAGCAAACATTTCGAAAAGAGAACAAACAAAACAGTTTATTAAACACAAAATTTCAACAGTCTGGTAAGCGAGTTCCACAACAACAAAAATTGGCTTATAAGGTATTTACGGTGATTGGCCCTCAGCCCAGATGGATTTGAGTATACGATTCGCTTTTCATTGACTTGACACTAAATTTGCATATTAATATATTCATAAGACTAAATTGTAGACATGGACAATGGACAAAATACCGCCGAGGAGATGGACAGACGGACAGAACTTCATCCGTTCAGCTCGGGTATATTCGAAAATTTCCTCTTTAAGAGCTTTCACAATTTCAGACAATTTAATGAAAATCGAGGAGTAAAGCTAACAGCAAGACAAATAAAAGCAAATGGAGAGCTGAGCTGAGCCGGAATACCCTGTGCGCAGTTCTGGTAGAGCATGCCAGGCTAATGGGCTGACAGCTTGCAATGGAGTTGAGAGAAGGGATTAAGTTGATTTCGGTTACATTTTATGATTTTCCAATGAATGACCCAACCCGGAAATAGTTCAACCAAAAAACATAATTTTAAAAAAAAGTCATATAAATGTAAGATTACAGGAATCTTCAATTATCTATGTTAGAAGTTAATTCATATATGTATTTTCAATACTTCTCTATGTGTTGTGCTTAGAAAAAAATAACAAGAAAATCAAAAAATTTAAAAATGTAAAGCGAATGAACTTAAAAAACAAACTCCACTGAGAACGCCACCCTACATCCCACAAATACACAGAGACTACAAAAAAAACCAATGAGAATATGGAATACATTAGGAATGGGGGAAGGCCTAAGCAGTACCCCAAAATAGACAACTAAGCTACCACAAGTACTACCAAAACGGTGAAAAGAAAGGGGAAAAGCAAAACTACTCTTGAATCACATTAAATAGCTCTACGCGTTGAATATCACAAAAGTGACACAAGCAACTACAAACAACATTCATCAAAGAGAGACGAACGATCAGAGGGTAACTCACGGGGCACGGAGGAGCAGCGAGGCAGCGAGTTGGGATACTTAGTTGAGATTTTAAATATTTACGATTCACTCTTTCTTGTCAAAATAACAGCGAGACGCCTTGCTCAATTCCTTCCTTACTTTGTTAACTCATCTTTTCTTATCCTATCTTATCCGTTCCTCTCATATCATTTTAGTCCCAACCTGCCTTACCTATATTTACGTACTCGATTTAATCTGAATCATTTCATACTGCTTGTATTCTAGTTTGTTTCAATTAGCTTATCCGTAATCCACCTAATCCTAACTTATCTTAACTCTTTTTTCTGTTATCCAAGGAAAGTTCAAGTTATTGTTGGATAAGCTTATGCAGAATATATAGATATATATAAGCCTAGCCAACAATAAATTTAACTTTCCCTAGACAGCTGACAGCAGAGGTTAATAAAAGATTAGCATAGGATGAGATAGAGGAATATAGGAATATAGCTATTGATTGAGTAAAGAGTTACCGTTAGAGATGCTAATATACATACATACATGTATATATATATATATATATATGATCGACCGACCGATGAACACTTCAGAAACCGTAGAAAGCTGCGAAGCTGAAGCACGAAAGAGTAGAGGAAAGGGACCTACGAATTGCATACAAACTACCCCAATTCACGCTTCATCAGTTACTGAACGCATGGCTGGACGAGGACGTGGGAGGCAAGTGGGAGAACTGGAGTACTAGAGACTCTCGGCTCTATGTAATACCTGGTATTGCTGCGGAAAGCGAGAAGGCGATAATTTTAGACAGTGAATAGGTGCGATCTTTTGAATTTAATTAGAGATGACAAAGTCATCTCGAGGCATACTTCAGAGGCTTGTACCTATTAGGGCAAGGAGTGGGTGGGTCAACTAAAGAGCGAGGGCGTGCTTGAGTGCGGAAGAGAGCGAGGGGAAGGAGATGGGAGAGGCATCAATCATCTAGCATTCCATAGCCTGCTCTAAAGGCATTCACACCGGGTATCAAGAGAGAGGACAGAGGAGGAGGAGAGGAAGGAAGAGAGAGCTGTTCGAGCAAGTCGCATACACACAACCACGACGAAACACACACGGGCACACCAAAATCAATGAGAGATGACAGGGAAATGAACTAGTCGAATGAACTAGTTCAAATGAAGAAATTCAACAGCACAACGAAGCAAGCGAAGCGCTTGAAACAGATCGAGAGAGGAGATAAAGGACTTTTGAGTAGACTAATGCAGTTGCATCACATGGTACACGTACACACAGATCAACACACATACACACATACATACACACAGACCAATAATAACATATCTAGTAGCATATCAAGACCCATACACGCTTCGCTTTGAACAGGGTATCTACAGAGCATCTGAGGACCATGAGGTCAGCAGGTGTCTAGACTATAGGCAGCTAAACATACCTGTACACACAGACACATACACTCACCCACACACACTCACAACTACACATATACATACCCCTGCACAGACCCGCTTAACTACAATTTCTATTATTTTTATACAAAAATTGAACCGAAAAAAAAAAAAAAAAAAAAAGAGACTGATTACAAATATTCCCATTCCAACTATTCTTAGAATACCTAAATCTCTGACCAAATTTTCGTTTTGTTAATTTATTTTGGTATTACATTTTGACTAAGAATTTTCCCACGAATTTCCATATGCAAAAGCGTAGTGCATGATAGAGAAATATATATGTATTTATATAAGACGAAGATAGAAATATTTATATGTATATTTGAGCCAAGCGAAAGCACAGGATCATATATATATATATATATATACGGGATTTATTCGCTTCACATCTACATATAGGTAAGACTTAAGATCGAGACTATATATAATTTCTGATTAGTTCTAGGTTGAATTTGGACTAGATTCATTTTTTATGTACAATATCGATAGTTATTTTCGTAAAAAAAAAACAAAAAAAAAAAACTTTGATTTAGGAACTTCACAAACAAACAAATTTGACGCAAATGAAAACAAATTTGATTCGATATACGTACTTTTGGATACCAGATTTTGTAAAAATATACAAAAATATTTAGAAAACTTTTTATAGATTCGTAAGACTGTATACAAGTTATATTGCTTGAAGCTGTGCATTGAATATCTCCCATCCCAAGTGGAGGCTGCGAGACCTGTACAAAGTTTCAAAGTCGACCAGCACCGACTGCTCAATGCTCGTTCAAATTAAAAGTGAACAAGTTCAAAATGGGTTACAAGCTATATATCAGAGTCAATCTACATGTTCCATCCAAAAGAAGCTTTTTTGTCACAGGGCCAGCCCACTGGGGACGGTTCAACGTTTTGGGATAAACATGAGCCAAACGACAAACAGATCGTCGTGCAATTTGATATACAGACCGATAGACATATCGATAGATCGATATACATATAGATAAACAGATCGGCTGCTGTTGGATTTATCGACAATTCGATTTCTTAGTCTGTATACACTGATTTAAGATGCACCAACGACCAATATACACTTATATACAAGGACTTACCCCAAAAACAAAGTATTTTATCTCTTTATATAACATTTTATTCGATCTGAGTATTATCCCCTCTATGCCACTATTCAAAAACACAGATACATATATCTGAGTACCACATTATCTCCATATACTATATATATATATATATACATATAAATACACACGAAATATACATGAACATATATACAAATATATATTCCATATATATGCACAATATATGAATAATCAACATATAGAGAGAGTAGAACGATTGCAGATTTTTTTTAAATATTTTTGTATGGCACAAAGATTCCATTCAGAAATAATGCCCGCAAGACCAGATGCATACACATATACATCTATACACATGCATATATGTGTGCATTTTGGAGTTAGTGAATTGTATGTTAGGCCATTGCAAAGGGATGCCGCCCCGACTGGGTATCGGGCCATCCACCCAGCTGGAAGTACCGCTCATTCAATCCAATTGAATGCCAAGTTTGCAATTTTCAACTAAATACAAATTACAAGTATATAATCCATATTTTAATCCGTACTTAATCGTTTTAAAAGTTCTTATTAAATGTTAGCGAAAGCTAAATAAAACATCATTCCCAATTGCCTTTTTATTTGCGTGGGCGGGTTACTCTAGCTCCTCTTTTTTCAGGTGATCCACTTGGCATTTTCTTGTCCAATTGGAAGTCGACTCAATAGCTAACAAGGAGACAAAGCGGCAAGGCTATGATCGTTCAGATTTGCATGAATATGATTCGCCAATTGGAATATTCTCTCCCGATTGGCAACTGAAAGAAAGAGGCAGCAGCGGAAGGGTCTGTTAGTTGCTACGATTGTTACGATCTATAATATTTGACTAAGTATTCCAACTGGAGTCGATGTTACCAATTGCAAGTTGAATCAACCGAGAGAAAACGAATGGCTAGAGAGAGCTCTGTCAGTATTGAGTGGCTGTGCATGTAGTCCTTGCAAGTAAGTAAGTCAATTAGTCAGTCATTCAGTCGTTTAATCAGTTGTGAGTTAGTCGACTCAAGTCACTGATTCACTTAGACACTCTTCAGTCAATTAATCAGCCGATCTCTCTAATGAATCTGAATCAGAAACAGTATCTGGGTCTAATCGAATTTGAATCTGAACCCGAATCGAATATTCCAAATAGTATGTTATCGACTTTCGTCTTGCTTCGAGATTGGGAATTCGTCCGTCCACTCGTCTATCCGTCCGTCCATTCCTCTGGGCAATTCAGGGAAAAACAAACTTGACTTTTGTTTTGCGAAATATTTATTTTCGTTTTAAATTTAAATAAATTAAATATAAATATAAATTTAGATGGGTAGATAGAAATGGATCTCTGGGCAGGGAGATATTCGGCTTTCTGATAGATGGATTTCGTTTCTCGATTTGTCAATAAATAAATACATGCTTAAATTAATATATAGGGCAATGGGCAAAAGTAATCTTCATCTTCCACCCTTTACACTCCATTCGTAAATGAAAATAAAAATGATTCATGAATGGGCGAATTCTCCTTGCATTCTCCTTTCGTCACTCCATTCGTAAATGCAAATATTCGCGCATGCATAAATAATTAAAGTAAAGCAAAACTACAAACTAACTCCTGATACCAAATCCATTTGTTTCCTTCACTCTCCCCTCACTTCCTTCCCGTTTCCTCTTTGCTCAGTCCATTCGTAAACGAACGCACATAAAGCAATATCCTGCTCTTCGGCTTGCTCTCGCCCTTCTCATTCCCCTCTCTTCTCCTTTGTCCCCTCTTCCATCCGTAAACGCAGCTCAACGTTAATACAAGGTATTTACAGAGTTGCCAAGCATGTTGGCGTATTCCCGTTGGCCGCTCAGTTGAAAAAATCCAGGATGCCGTTGAGCAGTTCGTAGGCGAAGTCGCCTTCTCCAGCTGCCGCATCGTTGGCTGCCTTCTTCTTCTTCTTGTTCTTTTTCGCCTTCTTCGACTTTTTGTTCTTGTTCGAGGTGGACGTGGACGTGGTCGTGGCCGTGGAGCTGCTGTCTTCGGCAGCCGCAACAGCCGGTGCAGCGGCAGCCTCTACTGCAGCAGCTACAGTCGCCGAGGCATCTGTTGCGGCGGGTGCTGCTGCTGCTGCTGCTGCTGCTGCTACAACTGTGCCGGCTTCATCTTTGCTCTGCGCATCCATTTCGACATGCTCGCGTGTCGTCTGATCGGCAAGGGGCGTGGCAGCGGCAGCAACAGCTGGCTTCTTGATCGGCTTCTCATCCTCATCGTCGTCGAGCTCGTCAAGGAGGCCGCCCAGACTGAAGCCGCCGTAGTCCGCGTCCTCTGGCGCTTCCGTATCGTCGTCTTCGGCATAGTCGTCGGCATCGTCGTCCTCGGCAGAGGCACCTGTCGTCTCGCCATCGTCGTAGTCATCGTCCTCATCCTCATCCTCATCGTCGCCAGCTGCAAATAGGATCAGACAGATAGAGAGAGGAAGAGATTATCGAGCTAGTTCGTACTCTTATGAAACCATTAGGAAACTAAATCAAGTTGAGGTGCGAATAGCAATCGGTAATCGATTGGAATGAGCCTGGGAATCGGAGTTGGAATCACATTCCGAGCTTAACAAAAGATGCTAGGCGCTATTTCACTCACCGCCAAAGCCAAAGATGTCGTCGTCGTCATCCTCCTCGGGCTTCTTCACCTTCGTGGGCAAAGGCTCAGCCTCGGCGACGCGCAGACCCTCGGAGCCAAACTTGAAGCAGGAGATGGGCAGCTGGGCCTCCAGCTCGTCGTCGGAGCGCAGCTCGAAGGCCAGGCAAGCCTTGAAGTTCTCCTGGGCCCGCGACAGCCCGTAGACCCGGCCGCAGAACTTGGAGTAGCCGCCGGGCATGCTCACGCAAATGGGCCTAGCCCGCTTGCTGGAGATGCGGCGGGAGGCGAGCGTGATGTCGCCGAACTTGAGCGAGACGCTCATCTCGTCGTTGCCCAGGTAGGCGATCTTGGCACAGCCCGGTCCGCTCGGCAGCAGGGGCAGGCCGAACTTGCGGCAGCAATCGCAGTGGGACTCGGTGCACTTGCAGAACCTGCTGATTGGATTATCGTCCTGTTTCGTTGGCTTCGTTGGCTTTGGCTTTGGCTTGGCAACGGCCGCTTCCGTGACGGGAGCTGCAGCAGCAGCATCCGCGCTGGCTATCTCATTGGCGGCCTCGTCCACAGCCTCCACAGCGTCTGCAGCGTCTGCAGCGGCTGCGGTTGTGGCTGCGGCTGCAGCTGCGGCTGGTTCTGCAACTGTCTCGGCAGCGGCCTCGGCAACGGCGGTCTCCAGCTTCTGAGGCTCGGGAGGCGCCACATTTGGATCGATCTCCTCTGGCGGCAGGTCGAGTTGCTTAAAGTTCTCGGAGATCTTGTCTGTGCGACGATTCAGGGTCTTCGACTCCACGGAGAGCAACGCAGAGCCAACCAGCAGCATCAGCAGCAGGGGGCGAGCGAGGGCGTGAACCATCTTGAACTGCAATTGGAATGGTGGAAAACCAGTCGAATTAGACGGAGGATTCTCTCTCGATGTGAAATGATTCGTATAGCAATATTATATAATAGTTCCGGATTGAAGCAATTGCAATTCTCGATGCTAATGGTAAATATTCTTAATCCACATGATATTGGTAGGAATAGGAAGAGAACTTCCTCTGGGAAATGTGTAGAAGCCATTTATACTTCGATAAACAGCTAAAATGCCCATTTATAACTGGAATTCGAGTTCGAATTTGGTGAACTAGATCAAATAGCATTAGAAAATCGTACTGCGAAGACTGAGCTCTGCGAATATATATAGGCGTAGGCGGGTGTTTCCCCCTCTTCATTTCGCACTAAATCCGAATTGAGGTTTCACCCGGAAAGTATTTCAAAGGTAAACAAAGATCTCAAAAAAAAAAAAAAAAAAAAAAAAAAAGCAAAAAATTATGGCTTTCGATTAAATTTCACCGTTTCGACGTATTA